AAGATCATCAGGGGCTTTATTTAAATTGTAAATTTCAGGACCCCCGAGCTATCCGTTCTCCCTTGGGGAGGGGGTAAAGTTTACTATAGTTTATATAGGGAAACAACACTTTTGGGTATATTTTGACAATTTTCTGTTGGAAATTATTTTTACTTGGTCAGAATCATCTTTGGTGGATGACGGTATCACATTGTAAACTTGAAATTCATTTGATGACATGACAAGTATTGTATTTCACTTAGTTTACATGCTGATTTCCACATCACATCTAAACAATAAAATAAAGCTACCAGTACCTATGATATAACTCAGGTGACCGCTAAGGCCCTTGGGCCTCTTGTTTTGTAATTATTTCCTAATTTTACTTAAAGCAGAAATTTGCACATTTTGTTTGTTTTGGTATTCTGCATTTCCTTTGATTAGGGTTATTTACCCTACAATAAAATTTGATCTGGTCTGCAACCATGTCTGTTTCATGTAAGACACTATCAGAAAAGATTACATGTAAGGCTATCAGAAAACACTGTATCAGACTTGATGTGTTTGTCACAATGATAGTGTTATTGCATGAGTTAAATACAAAACAGTCATTAAAAAAAAAACACTTTTAAATATATAACGTTCTATTGGTAAAAGCCTATCATATCGTGTACCATTGCTGTCATTCCTCTCGTGGGTGATCAGTCATTGTAGCTTCAGAGGTTCTGTCTGCATTGTTCCCTCTCGTGTCCGCTAATTACAGAATATACGACGCTGTTCCGGCCAGTGATCAGTTTCATGACCAATTCTTTGATATCGCCATAAGCCTTTGATTTATACAAATTATTAATTTATAGTCACTGCACTGGATACACATACATCCCGGGGAGAAAAGACGAGCATTATCTTGTATTTAATCTCGATATTTTTTTATTTCTTGAGGGGTTGTTCCTTTTAAGTCAGATGCATCATCGTCCCGTGCAGTAATTATGTGAAGTGAGAGTCGTGATCATCCCCTGGTGAAACTCCCCAACAAAACAGATCAGGTCAATCGTACTATGATTCGGCTTTGAGTGATGGCATTTTATATGTATTGGCTCCTATCTGTTGTCTCCGGGAACGAAACAGAAGAAAGAATAAAAGAGTTGGTGAATGGGTTTTGTCTTTGATCCTCCTTTGATCGGACTGCTTTAATTCATTTAAGGAACCAATCAATGCTGTCTAATGAGAGCTTCGTTGTTCATGGAGTGTCAAAGACAGAGATTTAAACATTGGAGGGATGTGGATAATTAGGCACTGGCCGGTTGGCAGTTTCCTCGCTGAGACTGATTCTAATTGTTGACTTTTTGGACATGCAAGCCACTAGGATCGCCAGCCAATTCGAGGGCACAATTGGACGATTCAGTAATTAATTGAACAAGGAATTTTTTTCTCACTTTGATGTCAACATCTTCTGGAAAAGGATATTTCCAGCTATAATTTAATAGGTTTATACGTTGTCTGCTGGTAAAAACAAATATGATCAGATGTTAAGCACCCCGATTACAGTTGTAGGAATTTCAAGATACCTACACTGTTAAATACTGAATGATGCACTTGATTGTCGCTTCAAAAAGTGCCTTGGGTTCATTAAACAACAAGACATTGACCGCTTGTTGTATTTTATACTCAAGCCTTGTTAATTGCCCTTACCTCGAATTAATTTGTCTTTTTTTATAGCCAGTGATTTTAGGGACAGATTTATCTTTCCAAAAGTTTCCAAGTAAATATAGACATCTTGTAATCCTGCTACCTTAACTGGGAACAAGATCACGGAATTAATGGTGTTTTATAAGCATTCAGTATAATGTAAGACAACATTAACTCATTCACCCCTATAGACACATTTGAACTCTTCCAATTCAGAGGTTGGAACAGTTCATTATGAAATAGTTCAGCTCACAAAATCCACTAAAATGTGCATCCAGTCACATAGTGTTAATACATTGCTTGGAGGTTTGATGTAATTGATGCAAAAATAACGTACCAACAGGTCTAAGAGCCGAGATCCTACACACTGTTATAATGATAGAAAGCTTGTCATTTGTTATATCTGTGTTTCAGTATTAAACAGGGGCATGCTAGACACAAGACTTGTTAATCAGTTAACAAAAAAGTCCTAACCGATCCACAGATTTTAATTAACAATCCATTTGCTTATTGTCTGACTCTTTACTGCCTGGGATACTTGACCGGTGATCCTTGTTTGAGATCTCGGTGAGCTCCTGTTGGTTTACTTATAGCCGAGCTGACTTTGAAGCTGCCCAGATTCAGCTACTGAAAAGGGCTTAGAAGCATCAGTTCCATAGGGGTTGCAAACTTCTAGGCAATCTCATTTGCACAAATTGATTGATAACACTTCGTGGAAGCCAGACCCTCCTACATCAAAGGTTTTCAAAGATGAGCCTAGGCCTTTTAAGTGTCTTTGTTCACAGGGAGCCAACTGGATGTATGGCTTTATCAAAAATATTGCAAAGACAATAAATTTGTGTGCTGATGTAGTAAATAGCAGCCTTGTTTCTTACTTACTAATCAATAATCACAACTAAACATTCAACATGAATATGTAGGTAATTAAATGCCAACTTATATATTGGAGAGGCGCCTCATCGTGATAGCTTTGTGTACAATCACTTACTTTGTTTTATATTTCATTGTTGTGTGTTTGAAGTAGGGTTAATCTATAGGAGGAGATTGTCCAAGCCCTTTCATGAGGCTCTTACTCATTGGACAGGACCAAGGGAATAAACAACACAATTACTCTAGCATGCAGAAGCAGGTTGAGGAGGCTGAAATGGGCATTATCTAACAAAGTCTAACATACTGATGCAATTATATGTCGGACTCAATGCAACTGACAAGATAAAGCGCTGTGCATAAAAACACTTATTTCTGTCATAAAAATGCATGATAAAATAACAGGCAGTCGAAAATATTTGTAAATAAATACGACAGACTGATAGCAAACTGTAGTTTTATCGTTGGTAGTGAAATATAAATCGTTTGTTGTGAAATATACACGTAGCAATTTGTCAGAAAATGATGAAAGGAATTTTTTTTTCATTTTTTTTTTTTCATAATTTGATTGGCGTGAATGAAAGCTGAAAACCGAATGAGGATATATAAGTGTAGATAATGTATGAGCTAGATGGCATTGTTATGTATCAGAATGACCATTAGAAAATGGGTTAGCGCGTTACTAATTGACATCACGAGGAAAATAGATAAGGAATGCTCCGGGGTCTTACAGACATATCAGCTGTTTGACAAGGAAATTCAGGAAAAATTGAAAGTGCACTAAAGTAATAGTTGTCCCAAAGGGTTTCAGAATTAAAAGGATTAAAAATGTGAAAGGGTTTTGCCAATAAAAACAATTTATTCGTCATGATTATGAGCCTCTCGTATCATCATTAGTGCTTTTATTAAAGATATCTCACTGGGCGAGTTTGGTGATATGTTATCACTAGGTGTGACACAGTGATAGGCTCTCCTAACCAATCAGACGACAACTCATCAATCAGCCACTTATCTGCAAATCTGGTCGGAAACTATAAAGATCAATTTGTACAAAATAGTTTCCATATTGTATCAATGTCATTACTGCAGTAAGAAATAAAGAATTTATTTGCAACAATTTCCAAAGGATATAATTCTTTTTCAAATATTGCCAAGGGAGCATTTCTCATTCATGATGATATCTTGCAGGAAAAGAAAGATAAAAGTTATTGAAAGTGCAGAGTTATTAATTCTTCGCAGGAAACAAGGAATGCAAATTTTCTTATCAGACAAGGATAACTCCCATATCAAATCTTGATTGTTATGCTTTTGTTCTAAAGGCAAATCTCTGACTGTTTGATAGCTGTGTACAGTATTCTGGTGTTAAAACTACACTTAAACACAGTATAGACATGGAGAAGGTTAATCTTTTTACCATAGTGATGTGTTTGATACCATAGTGATGTGTTTGTTACCACAGTGATGTGTTTGTTACCATAGTAATTTGTTAGTTACCATAGTGATGTGTCTGTTACCATAGTGATGTGTTTGTTACCATAGTGATGTGTTTGTTACCACAGTGAAGTGTTTGTTACCATAATGATGTGTTTGTTACCACAGTGATGTGTTTGTTACCATAGTGATGTGTTTGTTACCACAGTGAAGTGTTTGTTACCATAATGATGTGTTTGTTACCACAGTGATGTGTTTGTTACCATAGTGATGTAATTATAATGTGACAGAATGCTGTATATCTTCTAGCACTTACCCAGTATATCAGTTTTTTGCGATAATTTTGGAAACTCAAATTCAAGTAAATCATAAATATTTATTTTTTAGTTTAAAGAGGGAAGCTACATGTTTTCATGAATGCAAATATTCACAAAAAATGTTTATTGAAAAAAATCCCAAGATAAGAAGTTTTCAAAATTAAATAATGTAGTTATTACTAAGTCAATAAAGTTGTACATTTTTATAAATCTTTGTTTAATACAGATGACATCATTGTGACAATTAACTTGTACATATTTTCTAAACTTATTCTTTGTTTATTACAGACGCCATCACAGTGACTGTAAAGGCACAACTAAGGAGCATTCGAACCACAAACGGCGTCACCGGGGGCACAAAAACAACAGCACCGCACCCGTGGACGTCAATATCAATAATCAAGGTGACCAGGCTAAGGAATGCCAGGATCGGCGCAATTATTACCTTGATCTCGCTGGTATAGAACATAACGCAATCACCAAGTGTCAATCATTCACAAACAATGCAATCGGTCATGCTCAAACTTCTCAGCCCCCTGTGAGTCAGCACCACCGATCACGTTCCCAAGACACAAATCAAAAGTGTGACAATATTCGACGTGAAACTGAATGTCTGAATGTGAAACACGAACAACAACCAGCAGTAGTAGACAGTAGTGCAAAGCACGACCACATAAGGTCAAGGTCATTTGACCCACAGGAAACAGCAGTAAGGTCACCAAAAGGTCACCACAAATCTGCAGGGTCCTCTCCACACAAACATGGCCGATTTCGACCTGTTAGTTTACCCATGCATATTCCTGAAGCAGTGTCGGCGCACTACCACAGAAGACACCGTCACCGGGAGAAAGATCATGACTTGGCAATGCAGCAGGTTGCGGAGTGGATTGAGCGTGAGCATACATGCGACATGGATGGGGATCGCATCATTGTGCAACGACACGAGCACCACCATGTTCATGAGCACCACCATCACCACCACTATCACCACTATTACGAGGCGTGAGGCAGCCCTCCATGGCATTATTTCAAATACTCACTTGTGTTCACTGTACTCCAGGCACGAGAGATCAGACCACAGACAACTGTAATTTACTCCCCAGCTAAATGAAGGTGCTCCCACAGTAGTCAAGCTGGTGGAACATTGACTCCGACTTTTGGGATGACACTTTTTCACCTCCTCTTTTTAAATTGAACATCCCCAGGCCCCTAATTTGGGACTCCAGGTCGATCCTTTAACAGTGAAGGATTAGGGCTCATATTCATAAGGTGCTGATAATTACAGGTCATTAACGATAGAAATCCACTTGTTTTCGTAACTATTTGTAACCCTTATCTCACTCATCAGATAAGGAAATGTGCTCTTATAATGGACTCCAGGGTTTGCATCAACTCTATATAAGAATAAACTCCTCTTAGAAAACATTGAGCCATGGGAAAACAACTTGAGGGAGGAGAAGAGAACTACCACATATTTAAATCAGGGGCAGACAACTCCTGATTTCTTTGTGTTTGAGAACATATTACCTGTTCTTTGATGCAAGAGAATTGTTTTTGTCAGGGGTAAGATAACTCCTGTCTGTTTTAATTGGATAAAAAACAACCTTATTGGGGTATAAGTTGATCATTCCTGAAGCTTTTGAGCCAGGAAAAGATAACTTCTGTTGAAATCAGTGTATGATATCATTATTACAGTGTTATTTGTTGTAAAAGCAAGTTTCCATGGCAATGCTGACCACCAAAGATAAAAACTGACTTGTTCTTTGGACAAGTCGTCTGTGATAAAAGCACACAAGTTTCTTCATACCTCTGTCTACAGGGTTCCAATATATAGCCGCTGTACAGCTCTTTTGTTGCCTGGATACTACCTCAGGTGTTGCTATGGACACTGTTGCTATTGGAAACCCTGATGATGTTACCATGGACAATGTTATAATTTGCTATTGGAAACGGACTATTTTATTTCCTCAGTGATATGAGGGGTTGTAGCCATTGTCATTATAATCAAAAACCTGTGCAAGAGGTGAGAGGTCATGTTGCATTTTCATCTGTTTTATTTTCATTCTGTCTGTGATTTGCTTGGACATGTTCCACTTCAAGATTGTCAATATTCATGATATACATATATCTATATATATATATTTATAAAAGTAGCAAAAGCTCTAGAGGTATGAGTGTAGAAAATTCATTTAGATAGACAACATATATATATTGTCTCCTACATCAAACTCTTCAATCAAGTGTTCTTTCCATCCTTTTTGTCTGTTTTTTCTGGATGTACATTTAATGGCAAATTGCAACGTAAGGGAAAAATTCTTGCTCACTGATGTCATTGATTTTCATAAAGAAAAATACAAAACTAGAAACAACACATGTTCAAGGTCAAAGATTTTGGGAAAAAGAATTCCAAAAAAATTGAACACCAAAACTGGATCTTCTATGGTATTGCAGAATTTATAAGCATTTCGTGAAATTCTAATTACTTTCAATAAAAAGTCTCTTGTAATAATTTACATTGAATATTTTTTGGTTACTTTGATTGCTTGACAGTTAGAAACTGTCATCTGTTGTTCCTTTTGACATCTATTTACATGACCTTTCGTTATGTATAAAGCTGGTGATCCGTGTCGTTTTGAGTTTGGAGCGTGAGCGGAACTCTTTGTTGTACCTTTCTCTATTACTGTCGTACATAGTAACTGATTTGTTTAAGATTCAGAAGCTTGCTCTTGTTGCTATAGTTACCTGTATCAGTGTAGCTCAAACGTTTTACTACCTCAATGTATGAGTGTGTGTGGTCTTGGATGCTATAGTTGTGTGTACAAGTTGTATGAATGCACACACCTGTGTGGAAGTGTATGTGTGCAGCTTTGTTTATTTGTACCTGTGCAGTGTACTGTACATATGGGTACTTGTGGTTTGTACACACCTGTGAATGAGTCAGATGCGCACATACTTAAAGAGGTGTACCTCTGCACATATGTTAGGGTGTACCTGTATATATCTGTAGATATGTACCTGTTATAACCTGTATGTAAACCTGTACATACCGGTAAATATATACCTGTATACACACATAAATTTGCATGTTTGCATGCATGCACACATGAATGTACACCTTTACACACCTGTAGATGTGGATATTTGTGTGTGTATCTCTGTGCACACCTGCAAGTGTACACACCTGTGATTATACACATGTGTACACACCTGCAGGTATGTACAGTACACATGTGTATACCTGTACACACATGTAAGTGTACATACATTTGTATGTGTACCTGTGCATACTTTTAAGTGTGTTCACATGTGGTTATATTCCTGTATGTACCTGTACACATCTGTTAGTGGACACACCTGTGTATTTATACCTGTACACATCTGTTAGTGGACACAGCTGTGTATGTAACTGTACACATCTGTTAGTGGACACACCTGTGTATGTATACCTGTACACACCTGTACACCTGTATATGAGTTTACCTGTATTTGAGTGAAAGATTGTATGTTCCTGATCGTACCAGTTCATGTGCTTTGTGTGATTTGTCCAACATCCATTGGTAATCTCTTTGTGACATTAAAATAATGGCCAGTTTGTCTGTGTTTGTTTTGTTATTCCAACAGGTGAAGTGTGAGTCTCTGTACCTTAATGACGCACTGCTAATCTTTAATCAATATAACATAATGTAGTAATATTTACAATGATCACCGTCAGCTGATAGATTGATACACACTACTGTGTAATTAAAGATAAGGATGACAGTAGGCTTTAACAATCCAGTAGTTTTTACTGTTAAAAAAATTACCTTAACAAAACTTTATGAATCTGGACAGCAAGGATTCAAATGAAATGTCATAATAATTAGAGGGTTTGGTGTTTTTATCGGATCTGACAGAGAGACATTTCTTCCCCTTCTTCCTCGATAACTTTTGCTACAGAACCACATGCCTATAGTCATACTACTTAGTCGGTGGTATATAGGCGGTGGTGATGGCCCGTCAGATGTGTTCAAATAAGTTTTCCTTGAAGCTCTTTCAAGGTCATATAGTTAAATGTGTTCAGATCTTCAAACAGTTTCCTCTGATGAGCCATGATGCCTAGAGTCAGGATATCCCTACTGTTGTTTGATGGAGTGGGAACTCACTTGGCTTGTAGCTTTCTATGAAGGAGAGCTATCAGATTTGTTCAATAAATCATGTTGATCCTTGTTCAAAGTCAAAGGGGTTAGAAGTTAAATATTTAAATTACTTAATTACAAAACCACAAGGTCTTTACCCTTGACATGTTCTGTTGTATGCTGGGGTGAAAGACTATTCATTTACTTTATTCAAGTAATATTCATCCACCTTTGAGATCACAGCATTTAAATGTATTGACAACATATTAAACAACTTATTCTAAAAAAGCACAAAGACTAGAGTCAGTATTTGTCAAGTTATTTATTGGACTTTAAGACTATAAAATTTATTTAATTTATTTCAAGGTCACAAGGATCAATTGTGTTAAAAATGTAGAAAAAAAGAGTGGTTAACTCAATCACCCCTGAAGACACATTTGAACTCCTCCAATTCAAGGGTTGGAATATTTCATATTAACATTTCAGGGGTGAATGGCTCTCTTGTTTAACAACATTAACAGCTTTACATCAAAGACATGTATACAAAGATCTGAGTAACTCAGGATTCAGTTTAGGCAGGTTAAACTCAATGAGAAGCCTAATGGGCCTGCATCGCTCACCTGGTATAAATCTCACAATTGTTACCTTAAAAGTGAACTAAAATAAAGCTATAGGCAAAATATCATTGTCTTATCTAAACATCATTCAAAAGAACCTGTTAAACAATTTATACTTATTTGACCCATGTGACATTGAAAGTCAAACATAGACATTAAGTTGAATGTATAGCTCTTCATCCTAGAATGCAAATTGCCAACTATTACCACCCTAAACTATTTGTTTATTGAGAAGATGACTTAAATATCTATGCACAATTGACCAGATGTTACCTTGAAAGTATGCCAAGGTCATTCACATGAACAAACTATCACCCTGGAAGTTTTTGTTATTCATCAAAAGTAATTTGAAGATTTTAACAAATTTGACCACTGTCGCCTTGAAAATGGGCGAAGGTCATTCATTTAAACAAACTTGGTAGCGCCTCCTCCCAGCATGCTTCTAGACAAATATCATCACCCTAGACCTTTTGGTTATTAAGAAGAAGTTGTTTAAATGTTTTAAAGACAATTTACCCCTGTGACTTTGAATAAGGGCAAAGGTCATTCATTTGAACAAACATGGTAGCCCTTCATCCTAGCATGCTACTGGCCTAATATCATCACCCTGGGGCTTTTGGTTATTCAGAAGAAGTTGTTCGAAGTTTTTTAAGACAATTGACCCCCATGACAAGTCAAGGTCATTCATTTGAACAAACTTGTAGCCCTTCATGCCAGTATGTGACTGGCTAAATATCATCCTGGGCCTTCTGGTTATTCAGAAGAAATTGTTTAAAGATTTTAACATATTTGACCTCGAAAATGGGCGAAGGTCATTCATTTTAACAAAGTTGGTAGCCCTTCATGCGAGTATGTAATTGGCCAAATACCATCACCCTAGGCCTCTTGGTTATTGAGGAGAAGTTAAAGTAAAAAGTTGATGCCGGACGGACGCCAGGTGCTAATAATAAGAAGACATTGTCACTATTTTCAAAAAACGCTATTCACAGCATCACACTTTATTGAATTCATTCCTTGGCATTTAGTGCCTTTAGAAAGAGCATCTCCTTGTCAAATGTGTAGTATATATTCATCTATGCATCTTGTGCAAATAAACATGTTGTAGAAAATCAAAACAGAACGTTTACTTAAGTCAGTGTTCCTGTACCTACGATGTGTTTCAATTAAAGAATAGAAGGAAGCCTGTTCATCAGGAGGGAAGCCTGTTCATCAGGAGGGAAGCCTGTTCATCAGGAGGGAAGACGAAATATTACAGACAATAATTTTGAAATGTATTCAACGACAGTAAATTAAAGAGCTTTGGTTCATTACACTTTATGGGACTGCACTGACGTCTGACATGGCTGTTACGAGGACATCAAACCCTGAGAAAAAAACCACTTTCTGGGAACAGAAAGGATTTATTGTGTATTTTACTGATCATGCTCACTATATATAGAATACTTTAAAACAAACAATGTATTTAGGTGAATGTAGGCATGTCTGTTAAGAGCCGATTAGAATTTTGTCTATTCTATGTGACATGGAGCTACAGAAAGTCTGTGTTTTGCTAGCGCTTCTGGAAAGATACATGGCTTTACAAGTTTTACAAGTTTATTATTACTATTATTACAGGCATGCTGACATCTGTTAAAGTCACGCTAAACTAATTTGTTCAAGGACAAAAACTTTACACACCAACAAAATAAATGACATTGTCAACGCCTGTAAAATATATAACAGCATCAAAACACAAAGATAAAGATGTCACTGGAGTGTTTTAACAAGTGCTACCCCTGTGACTTTTCATAAAAGTCATTTTTTTCCCTTTTTGCATACATTGTAGCACCTCATGCTAAAAAGTAACTGACCAAGTCTCTCGACTCTCAGTCTGTTCCTTGGAAGATGTTGTTTAATGATAATAATATACAACATTTGATATAGCGCCCAATCCAACTAACATTAGCCACTCTAAAGCACTTCACAGTACATAGATATACAATTAATACAAGAGGCCCAGAGTGCCTGCATTCGTCTCTTTATGCCCAGCATTTGTATATATAGTTTTGGGTTGGGGAGCTCAACCATTTGGAAGTTATGGCCAATAAAGTAAGTCTCCAGGGTGGGGCCTGACCCCCAGGGCCATCCTGGAATCATATATGCATTCATCTCTTTATACTCAGCGATTGTACATATGGTTATAGGGTGGGGTTCTCAACTGTTTACAAGGTGTGACTCAGACACTAGGTCCCTAGGGGTGTGGCAAGACCTAAAGGTCAATGCTAATATCATAATTTATGGGGGGGGGGGGGGGGTCAGCCTGTTCATTTGTACATTCATTTATCCCCACCACCTAAGGATGCCTCCTACAAAATATAGTTGATATTTATCACTCAGTTCAAGAGAAGGAGCCATTTAAAGCAAAATAGCCAAATTACCTTTGTTGGCCCCACCCCTCAGCCCCCTAGGGGGTCAGTTCCAGAGAAGAAGTCGCTTAAACCAATATAACCATAAAACACTTTTTGGCCCCGACCCTCAGCCCCCTAGGGGGTCAGCCCCACCATTTGTATAATTTTGAATCCTAACCACCCATGAATGCTATCAACCAAATATGATTGATAACCAGTGCATAGTTCTAGAGAAGAGGTTGTTAATAGCAATATAGCCAAATTGACCCCTTTTGGACCGGCCCCTCAGCCCCCTGGAGGGTCAGCCCCACCGTTTGTACAATTTTGAATCTCCACCACCTAGCGATGCTAGTTAATTTAGTTAAATTCCAATCAGTGGTTAAGAAAAAGAAATCGTTGACGTACGGACGTACGACGGACGCCACAGTATGGCATAAGCTCACCTTGGTCCTTTGGACCAGCTGAGCGAACAATAAGGAAATATACATTTATCAATACAATTTTGATGAATTCGCAGGAGCTGCCTTATCAGACGCCAACTTCTAGTCCTATGCCACCTGGCTAATATCTCCCTATGTGTGTATGTGCGCGTGTGTGCTGGAGATGCAATGTGTTCTGTTTTTAGTGGGACTGTGCTTCCAACTGCATCATTTATAGTGCCGCCTCACTTGAATGCTACAGCACTGATACTGCAACACCCACCCCAGAGCATTGTATACTCCACCTGGGTTGTTGGAGTTGTGTGTGCAGGATAATAACACTTTCTCTGAATATCCATGCGTACGACGACTTAGGGGATCGAACCCCAGCCGCCTACATGGAAGGCTGAAGTGTTAACCACGCGACCTTAAACATATTTCAATTTCAATTCTTTTCTCAAAACATTGAAACATTCAATGGGATATACCAGCCAAATTTTATGAGTAGACCTTTACTTCTTTTTTTCCCCAGTGTTTCTACATTTTACCCCCTGCATTCTGGATCAAAGGGTCAAGGTCATTTCTTTTTGCAAAGTTTGTAGTACTCTATGCATGCAAATTACTGGTCAAGGATCATGACTCTAGGCTGTTCCCTTCTTCAGAAAAGGAATAAAGGTCATCATTTTGTTTCGTTAACTTTGTAGCACTCCATGTCAGGAAGTTACTGGCATATCATCATGACTCTTTGTCTTTCAAATGTACAGAAGAAGTTGTTTACGAGTGTTTACAAATTTGACCCTTATGATCGTGAATATATATAGAACTAGCTCTCTATGTTATAATTATTCTAGTTATCAGTTGTTAATAAAGTTAATATTTTCTGGTTTGTTTGTTGTTAACTGAGTTAACTCTATCCTGGTTTATCTATTGTTTACATAGCTAGGATTATCCTGTTTTATCTGTTGTTTACAGAGCTAGGATTGTCGTAGTTTATATGTTGTTTACAGAGCTAGGATTTTCCTGGTTTATCTGTTGTCAACAGAGCTAGAATTGT